GGTTGAAGGTCATATCAAGGAATCGTTTGTGATCATGACATGTACTGTTTATTGCACTTTGCTTACAGTTTTCAGAGAGTTTTTGGGCGTAATAAACGATAGGCATTTTAACAACCAGTGCAGAGTGCAGAGTTTCTCATCAGTACTTTCAGTACGTCCAAAAATGATAACAAAAAATCTTTTTGTTTCTTTCAGACGAGAAATAAGCATCATCCGTAAGAAAAGCGCTATTCTCTCGGGCTTAGCTGCCTTAGAATATACTTCAGTACCAATCCTGCTGTCTGTTATTACTCTGATGCTTACTGGTCAATCCCTAACACCAGTCAATGTTTTTATGCTCTTAATGTTTACTAACTTGCTAAGATCTAACATTTGCCTTGAAATCGCGTATGGTGTGGTGGAGACACGGGAATCATTTGCATCACTCGGAAGAATAGAAGATTTTCTTATTTCAGAGGATTTGTTTTCCATCTCTGAGGATCATTGTCTACATGACAGAGGAACAGTTGCAGAGAGAAAGTCGGGCAAGTTACAGAACGATTTTACATCTATGAGCCAGTCGCATGTATCAGATGAAGATCCCCTTGCTGATCAGTGGATAAACCCTTCTAAGCCAGGAAATGTATGTGTGTCGCATTTAACATATAAAGAAGTGGCGAGGAAAGATGAATTTATTCTTCAAGATGTGGACTTTGTTGCTGCGTCAGGAAGCTTGACAGTTGTCACCGGACCAGTAGGCAGCGGTAAATCAACTCTCCTCTCAGCGATCGCGGGCGAGATGTCAGACGTAAGCGGAGCAATAAGTCGTCAAGGAATATTTGTGTATGTACCGCAAATAGCCTGGGTGTTCTCTGGAACCTTAAGAGAAAATATTTTATTTGGAGAGTCGTACGATGATCCAAGATACACCAGAATAATTGAGGCATGCGCTCTCACAGAAGACTTTCAGCGGTTTCCGAACGGTGACCAAACCATTGTTGGTGAGCGCGGTGTCGTTCTGAGTGGTGGTCAGCGTGCAAGAGTAAGCTTAGCACGCGCAGTGTACGTGGATGCAGACCTTTACTTGTTGGATGACCCTCTCAGCGCGGTGGACTTCAAAGTTGGTCGGCATATCTTCGAAAAGTGTATTAAGGGCTTGCTTAGCGAGAAGACCCGCCTGTTAACTTCTCATCAAGAACGACACATGAAAGATGCAGATCAAGTGATTGTACTGCACAACGGTCGCGTTCTGGGGAAGGGAACCTTCGCTGAGCTTCAAGGAAAAGGCATCTTAAATACCACCATCGACCCACTTTACAAGAATGCTTCGATAGAGAACAAGTCTAATGACATGGTCACCGCTAGGGAGGATGAAGAGAGACGCGGAGATTTGAAGCCATTCACAAATAAAGACAATGAACTGGAAATATCTGTTGAAGATCGGGCAA